TGTTCGTGCCGACCCACGGCGCAGGCGCACCGCGAGCCCAGCGCCGGGGCGACAAAGGGGCTGCAACACGCAGGCGCGCTCCGACCCGGGGTAGGAGCTTAGGAAAGACCACCTGAACGGTGAGCTTTTGTCGCCTAGCCTTGAGGTGGGACGCACAGTGCTTTCAAGAAGCTCCCAACTGAGGTAAAAGCTTGGAAACCCGCCAGTGTTTTTGTCACCACCAAGCAGAAAAGACTATTCAAGAATTGCCTTGAAAACTATCACACCCAAAAGGAAAGAACCCAGAACTCTAGGAAACGCGAATTGTTTCCGATGCCTTGTATACAATAGGCACTCAAATATTTGTTAATTTACAAATCTATTTAAAAATAAACAGTCAGGCGTGGTGGCGCACGCCTGTCATCCCAGCGTTGGCAGGAGAATCACCGCAAGTTTGAGGCCTGCTTGGGCTACATAGTGAGTTGAAGTCCAGCCTGAATTACAGAGAGACCCTCTCTCAAAAAAAAAAAAGTCTAGGAAGACTAGTCTACTAGCCCAGTGGTAGAGTGTGCTTAGTATGTAGAAGGTCCTGGGTTCACGACCCAACACCAAAAATAAATGAATTAAAGAAGTTTCAGCAAGATTGTAAGATATCACTTCTTGGGAAAACTGGCCACTAACTTCCCTTTCGTCCCACACAGTTCCAGACTGTCGAAACATTAAGAGCCACATTTTGTTTTGTTTTGTTTTGTTTTTGAGACAGGATCTCACTCTGTAGTTGAGACTGACCTGGAACTCACTATGTAGTCCAGGCTGGTCTGGAACTCACAGCAATCCTGCCTCAGCCTCCTGAGTGCTGGGATTACAGGCATGAGCCACCATGCCCAGCCTAAAAGCCACATTATAAAACAAAAGAATTCATCCTTGGCTGGGGATTTAGCTCAGAGGTGCCTGGCCTGCCTTTCAAACACAGGGTCCTGAGTTTGATACCCCCCCACACACCAGGAAAAGAAAAAGAAAGAAGGGAGGGAGGGAGAAAACAAAGAATTAATCCAGAGCACAAGGGAGACAAATCAGATAGATAGATAAATAGATTTATTTTAGGGACTGAGATTGATTAGTTTGCTCAGGCTGGTTTAAAATTCCTGGGGTCTAGCGATCCTCCCCGTTTCTCCAATAGCTGGGACTCTGTCACTTGGTTTTTCACCTTTGTTGGTAGTAGGGACTGAACCCATGAACGCTGAGCTACATCACCAGCCCCTACACACACACCTTTTTGGTACCAGGCTCAAACTCGGGACCTTGTGCTTGCAAGGCAGGCGGCGGAACCACTGAGTTAAACCCCAGGCCCTACCAGCCCCTTTTTGAAATAGTCTTGCTCACTTGCCCAGGCTGGTCTCCAGTTTGTCCTAGCTTCAACCTCTGGATTATCTGGGATTATAGGTATAAACCACTACAGCCAACTTCCCTGTTTTTGTTTTGTTTTTTGGTGGTACTTTAGATTGAACTCAGGTCCTCGCACATGCTAGACCAAGTGTTCTACTGCTAAGCCACATCAACTTGCCTCCCTGTATATTTTTCAATGGAAAAAAAAAAGCTTTAAAAGCCAAATGGCCAGGCGTGATGGCACACGCCTGTAATCCTAGCACTCAGGAGGCTGAGGCAGGCAGATCGCTGTGAGTTCGGGACCAGCCTGGGCTACATAGTGAGTTCCGGGTCAGTCTCAACTATGTAGTGAGTCCCTATCTCAACAAACAAAAAACACAAGCCAGATGTATTAAGGATGTCATATTTAAGACTAAAATTTCCTTTTTTGGGGGTACCAGGGATCAAACTCGGGACCTTACACTTGAGCAGCAGGCGGTGGAAACACTGAGCTAAATTCCTGGATCAAAATCTCCAATTCTATTGCCCCAGCAATTGAAAATCAGTGTCTAGAAACATATTTACAATTACATAAGAGTTTTGGCATCTTATTTTATATACTAAATGACATAGCCTCAATGGTTATAAGGTGGTATTTATGCTGGTAAAAGTTACCATAGAAGATTTGTACCACTTAGCAAATTATTTTACAGTATAGGAATTTTTTTGAGACAGGGTCTTACTATGTAGTTCAGGTTGATCTTGAACTCAGTATGTAGCCCAGGCTGGCTTGAATTCGAAGCAATCCGCCTGCCTCATCTGGGATTATAGGGCTGTGTCACCATACCCAGCCAGTATAGGAATTTTAAAAGAATAACATCTACAGTAATAATTTAGCTTTCAACATTTAAGTTCAGGTAGCAATGGTTTCCAACATGGTATCTCGGAGGAATCTGGGAGTGTAGCTCCATGGTAGAGTGCTTGCCTACCATGTATGAAGTCCTGGGTTTCATCTCCAGTATGGCAAAAAACCAAAGGAAAACAAAAAAACAAAAACAAACAACAAGAAAAGACCTCATCAGTCCAAGAATGAAATGGTTAGGACAAAACAAGCTAAACTATCAGAATTGTGAGCCAAAGAAATGTGCTTTTTTTTTTGGTTTTCCTTTGCAATTAATCAGTCTTCAAACCATTAACATATAATCTAATAGATCATATAATCTGATGGATCATATCTTGTTTTGAAGATAATTTCAGAAGCAGGAAAATCCTGACTAAAACATTACTTTAGCAATTAAAAAAAAAGTTTTGCTCAGGATAGTTATACAACATTCAGTTATAATGGATATATGTTTTATTATGGATGATGAAACAGAAACAATGGAAAAACAGAGGTATCAACCATATATTTTCTAGAACAACCATTCTTTATTAGGAAACTGTAACCCCACTTACAATAAATATCAATAATGTAATGAAATAGTGAAACAATTATCATCCAAATACTGAACTCCTATAGCCAAAACACATTTTGGGTTTGGGAAAACCCGAACAATATACATATACCAAAAACAAACATCACATACACACCAAAAGCAAAAAGTAGCTTAACTTTAGGATTGGACGGTCAGGAAAATTCTTATTGTGTCACTGCTTTAAGAACCCCACGGAGCACCTTATAGCTCATCAGCTGCACATTCTCCTTAGGAGGGAAACAAGGTCCTCTCTCAGTCACATATGAATAAGGAAATCTCAAAACCCAAAGGCCATCAGGTGGGAGAGTGATTTCTTGTTTTTCTGGGTAAAATACTGGACATGGTGGTGGGCCTGGCTGAACCTAAAACACAGAAGAAATATAATTATTTTTACATTTCTCAATAAGAAATACCTGAAAGATAAGAGCTTAAACAAATACTACATTCAAAGAGCATATAAGATTGAGCAGGACCAGGGATTTAGCTCAGTGGTTCTGCCACCTGCCTCCCAACCACAAGGTCCTGAGTTCGAACCCTGGTACCAAAAATAAGATTGAGCAGATGGTGGGTGTGATGGTGCATGCCTACAATGGCAACTATTCAGGAGACTGAGGCAGGAGGATTCCAATTACGAGCCTGTTGGGCATGCTTGCCTAACCTATAGAAAGACTTGGGTTCAATACCAAATTATCATGGGTGAGCAGGGCAGAAAGGGAGCTAGGATAAGCTCAGGGATAGAGAACATACTTAGCATGTACAAGGCCCTCGGTTCTCCCCTAGCACCAAAGGGGTGGGGGTGCTGAATAGGACAATCACAAATTTGAGCCCAGCCAGGGCAACTTGAGACTTATTAATACCCTATCTCAAAATAAAAAATAAAAATAAAACAAGGTTTAAAACAAAAAAGGTTAGGAAAGTAGTTCAGTGTGTAGGCCCTGGGTTTAATCACCATACAACAACCAAAAAGAAAGGAAGAAAGAAAGAGATAAAGCAAATATAGGTACGTTCCTCCTTTTTTTTTTTTCCTTTGGTACCAGGGATTGAACTCGGGACCTTGTGTTTATGAGGCAGGTGTGGAGCCACTGAGCCAAATCTCCAGCCCAATAGTACATTATTTAGTCTCAAATATTATTCTGTTTTTCTAGAGGTTTTTAAAGTTCAAGTTCTATTTTGGAAACAGCTGATATTAACTGACCATGTGAAATGATTAAAATCTCCATAATTTTCTTTTCTTTTTGGTACCAGAGATCGAACTAGGGACCTTGCACTTGCAAGGCAGGCAGTGGAACCACTGAGCTAAATCCCCAGCCCTCCATAATTTTCTAGCTGCTATGAGTGGTAAAATAAAATACCCACAACTTACTTGATTTTTCTTTTTAAGAAATGGTTTCTCATTTATGCTGCCAGGCTAGCCCCAAGTTCTGGGCTCAAGTAATTCTCTTGGCTCAGCCTCCCTAGTAACTAAAGCAACAGGTATGAGCCACTCTTCCAGGCTTCCATAATTCCTCTTTAAAGAAACAGAATAGAAGCCGGGCATGGTAGTGCACACCTGTAATCCCAGCACTGGGGAGGCTGAGGCAGGAGGATCGCTGTGAGTTCAAGACCAGCCTGGGCTACATAGTGAGTTCCAGGTCAGTCTCAAACTACATAGTGAGACCCTGTCTCAAAACAAATAAACAAACAAACAAACAAGAAAAACAGAATAGTATTAAATACAAAAGGTATTTAAATTTGAGATGTTTAGTAAAGTAACTTGGTTTGTTATTATCTTGTATTTTAAAAAAAAACAATCAAAAGAAGCATCACCATTTCTTTGGGGATGGAGAGGGTTTTCTTACCTGCGGCATTAGTATTATTTGCAAAGGAGCATCAGGAACCACAACGAAAAGCCTCATGAGTTGAGCATAATGTGGTTTTAGCCCTCTACCCTGAGACGAGGACAGAATATATAAGGGCATATCACTGTTCAGGGCTTTTAAAGCCGATTCCTTTGGCCCACTTCCCATCACTTTCATTACTTTGTCAGGTCCTGAGCACATGAATCTCCGGCCTCGAGAGTCTTCATATTCAAAGCCCACAAAAGCCCGAGCTATATCATCTCGTCGTCTTCCTCTTCCCATGACAACT